TAAACTGTACAGTGTCACTCTAATTGCAGCTGTTTTGTTGACATTCTGAATGCTTCTAAGTAAATACAATATTTTTTATTAGAAAAAAAATGATCTACATGATTGGTTGTGTGTAGTTGCTAACAGCAACAGAGTTATAAATTCCATTACTTCTAGATTGACCAAGATGAAGAAAAGGAAGAGGAGGACTAAAACTTATTTATATGGAATGTTTTGTATGAGTTCTTGAATAAAACTTGTAAACTAAGAAAAAAAAAAAGTAAGCAAGAGAGATCACTATAGGAACTAAATAGATGATGTAATACAGGAAAGTAGAGGGGTTAAAGTTTTAGGAACTGATCATTTCACTTAATAATAACAAAACCAAGGACTAGTAATCAAAAAGTTACCTGGACAGCAATGAACTAAAGGATACTGCCATTAGTATAATTTCTTTTTTCCAATAAAAGAATCTTACATTTGTGACTGCCCACCTCCTACAGCACTCACCAGTGGGTTCTGGACTATAAAGTGTCACTGGCGGCGGGGCAGGTGGCTCTTCTTTCATACAACCTGCCACACTACATGGATTGCTTAGGCAGTCCCCCAGCTACACTTCCACACAAGGATATCCGATTGCTTATGAGACATGGTAGTATGTACTTTCAAGGATATCAAATTGCATTTGAGACATATCAACATCAAGACTAACCGAATCTTCTCTATCATTCAGAGGATAACCTACAAGGTTCTCATTCGTTGTTAAGAAGAAAATCATCACATAATGAATACAAACAAATGTGCTTTTAAAATAAGTAGATGAGGAACTACCAGGCACTGTGCTTTCATAAAGCAGCCATTACATTTCATTTCAGTACATTTCCTTATATTACATTTCAGTAAGTGTAGTTACTACTTTATAGAACTACCACACTTAAAAAGAGAGTGCAGATTCTATATTTAAATAAATTGTCAATGCAGCATATAATGAATGTAATATAAAGTACTTTTGGACCCTCAAATCAGCAACATTATTACTGTAAGTGTTCAGATTTTACCCCAATCATAGACACACACTCACATACATAAACACAGATATAAGATAGTTTGAAAACCACTGATAAATTAATTTCTTATCTTACTGAATCACTGAATATTATTTTGAAGACCCTGACTGGTACACTCTGAGTCTTAGGTATAAAGATTGTCTGATTCTTAGCATATATACAATATTTTGTGATCTTTAGGGAAAAAATGAAATTAACACACAGTATTAGTAGTGTGAATTTGGTACTTGAAAAAAGATTAAAACTACTAATACGTATACGTGAAATAACGTGTATGAATATTTTTGTTAATGCTATTTTTGATTTTTAAGTTTACTTACTTCTGAGTAGAGAGATCCAGAATACACCCCTAACAGGGTCTTTCTTTAAAAAAAAAATAGAATTATTTAACTTAATGTATTATTATTATTTTTAAATTTGACCAGAGAGAGAAAGAGAGAGGGAAACTGAGAAAGCCTGCAGCCAAGTCCAGGACTTGAACTACAGTCAGTCATGTGAGAGTGCAGATGTGCTGTGAGCATAGCCTGCCAGAGAAGGTAGGATGCTGAAGTCCCTCCAACTCCCTGCAGATAATGAGAGCCCTCTAAGCCAACGCCTGTGTGGGACTGCCCACCAAGAAGAGCCTTGTAAGTGCCTGCAGTTGGCCTGGAGGGTCACATACAGCACACGGAAGCCAGACTCATCAGGATATTTTGTGATCTCCAAATTTATTCATCACTGGGGTGATGAACGTGGTGGAGAGGATTTCCGTGATGAAGGTAACAGCTGGGTGGCTAGTGTCATGACCAAGGTGAGACAGATGGACCTGAACTCCTGGAAAAGTGACTGGATCTAGTCCACATAAAAAAGAAAGTAAATCCAGGGAAGCTGATAAATTGGAAGAAAATGAGGAAGGCATGGGAATGGAAAATGAGTACAGGTTACGAGAGGAGTTAGAGTTAGGAAGCGGGAAATGAGAACCCATGATTTCCCAGTTGAAATGACTGCACATTATTACAAGGTCGAAGGTAAGTTCAGATAAAAAGTGTCCTGAAGTAGGGGGAAGCCAGGGATACACAACTGTCATCTCTCCATCTGTGAAATCACTAGCTGATGGCAGATGATAGTGACATGAGTTTAAGAATGACAGAAGTAGACGACATAAGCATCAAAAGAAAAATGGTGTTTGTACACTATGAAGACTGTGCTGGGAGGGCAGTAGAAGAGTGAGAGAATATCTCCAACCCCACTACAGTCCAGAGAACGGAAGATATTGGGGAAAGAGCAGCTTCCCACAAGAGAAAGAAATTTTCCTGGGGAAGGAGAGTTCTGAAAAGAGCCTGGGAGCTCTAGAGAATTCATTTATAAAACTAAGTGTAGTTTCTAGAGAGAAGACTGGGAAAAGTTGAGCAGGAGATCAACAGAGACAAATGGAGTAGAAAGAAATGAAAAAAGAAAAGGGAACCAGCAGCTGGCATAGTGGCTATATTGCTGGACTCCCTTGTAGTCAACTGAGGTTCAAGTCCTGGACCCAGTGGCTTAAACTCACGCCGGACACGCGTGTGTGTGCGTGCCCAAGATCCCGAGAGGAGAATAGAGGAGAAGGAACTGCAGCATGGCCATCCCCCCTAGGGGGTGATTTCTCGCTTTCTGTCTCTCTGTGTCTTTCTGGCAAGTGCATGCACCCTATAGCAAAACGTACAAGCAACCTCCAAAAAAAAAAAAAAAAAAAAAAAAAAAAAAGGACAAAACTAGTGCCTATGAAGACCTGTACTGGGGGGTGGTAACAGGCGAGAGACGAGGCTGAGGCCAACTGCTGTTAGTCCCGGCAGTCTCTGCAGGCCAAACCCCAATTTTATTCCACCTGTGAGTTTCCTATTTAAATACATTTTGATAATCTTTAAACTTCTCTTTGAGAATGCATTTGTACATCCAGCAAAGTTTTAATTGACAAAAAAAAAAAATTAAAGCTCACTGGAGTAGAGTGGCGAAAATACTTAGTAATATTGTTCTTTAAACTCAGAAATGATTTCTAAGAATGTCTGTGTTGGAAGAACTTTAAGAGCTCATTTAACTTACAAACCCCACAGGACTGTACTTAAACCTTAAAAATAATGCTCAGGGGCAGGCAATGGCAGTCTTAATAAGCTGAGGAAGGAAATCACAGCCTTAGAAAGTGATCTCTACTATAATTTGATAAACCTTAGTTGAGGATGTGCTTTTGGATGTTCACTATAAAGCCTTTAATCAGATCCCACTTCCTCTGGTTCTGTCCCACAGTAACAGCTAGTCATACATACACACATACACACACACACACACACACACACACAAATATGTAATTACTCTTCAAACAGCATATAATGTACCTTTGACAACCACCTGTTGACAACTCTCCTCTTGGATTCAATTTTACATAATTAAAAAACATAACAAACAAACAAAAAACAGGCATAATTTCTTTTTATCAGTCTGTTATAAAATGACAGACTATAACCAGTAACCTGGCTCGAGCATAAGAAGAATGCTTAGAGCTTTTTATCCGTATATAAACAACAGATTTATTTAAAGGTGATTTATTGAGGACAATCTGGCCAAGACATCTGTCACCTACTTATGACTAGGGCTAATTAAGTCTTACTTGGCATCTAAATTAGTTTCTCCTTCCTCACTTACACATCCCACATGTCGTTATCCCTGGACTGTGGGTCATGCTAAGTTTTAGCCTCATGCTTCAGATAAACTCTACATATTAGTTATACAAGAAGTGGTATCCATTACCATGATAATGGATGTGCTCACACTGTGTATCAGAAGCTGGGTTGTTTTATATAAGATCTCATGAAATCTTTACAATCGTTTGTGTAATATACAATATGGTGACTCATCTTTTTTTTTTTTTTTGGAGAGGTTTTTGCTTTAGGGTGTGTGCACTTGCCAGAAAGACAGAGAAAGTGAGAAATCACCCTCCAGGGTGGATGGCCACGCCGCAATCCCTCTTCCTCCATTCTCCTCTCAGGATCTTGGGCATGCACCCACCTGTGCCCGGCATGAGTTTAAGCCACCGGGTCCGAGACTCAAACTGTGGTGGACCTACATGGGAGTCCAGTGACACAGTCATTACGCCAACAGTTGGTCCTATGACTCACCTTTTAAATGAATTAGATTGCTTGAATTTTACACATAACATAAAATTCATAGATGAAAATAAGTAATAATTAAATAAAATAGTTAAAATACAAATTTGGATTATCTATTAATTCCATTATCCTCCATTAAATCTCTCTTTTTTTTTTTTTTTTGAGAGGTTTTTGCTTTTAGGGCGTGTGCGCTCGCCAGACAGACAGAGAGACAGAGAGACAGAAAGCGAGAAATCAACCCCCAGGGGGGATGGCCACGCCGCAATCCCTTCTCCTCCATTCTCCTCTCGGGATCTTGGGCACGCACGCACACGCGCCCGGCCTGAGTTTTAAGCCACTGGGTCCAGGACGCGAACCGCGGTCGACTACATGGGAGTCCAGAGACATAGCCATTACGCTAACTGCTGGTTCCCCCTCCATTAAATCTCTAAGCAAATCCACTTCGCAATAGTGAAATGATCATTCAGGACTGTCACTTCTTTCTGAGTCCTGATCCTTTCCTGAAAGAGGTGCTAACATGTTTTAAACAGTACAGCAGAAAAGGGTGGCAGACAGAGGCTGACATACAAGTCACGTGGAAAATGGATGAACTAGTTCAGTCATATTTCCTTCCTGTTTAAAGCTGCATGAAAATCTTTATTGTATAAAATAATTCACACAATTGTTATTTTAAAAGAACAGATCTGATTTTGTCTAAGTTGCTTCTTTCCTAAATTATTTTTATCACTCATCAAAAGGATAGTAAAAAATATTTTTAAATAATAGGATGGACAATGCTGAACAATCAAGTTTATCTTTTACAACATAAATAAATAATCAAAGCAGTAGTACTTACTTCCTTTGCACTCTTAATTTTGGTCAGAAATGTGTGGAGTTCCATTGTTTCTGCAAATAATGCACGACATACTGCCTGATAATGATTTGGTGCCTCTGATTCAGTTGGGAGATGAGCAGCACACAACTATAGAAGAGGAAAATAAAATGATGATGTTTAGCTATTATTTAGGGGTTTGGGTACCTTAAAAACAGACACACCCAAAATATCTGTATTTCCAAACCAGACAGCAAGGCAATTCCCATCATCCAAGGCTTAATGTATCACAAGACCATCAGTTAAGTCTGCACAATGGGGAGAGGGGCCTACCACCTGGAAGACACTCAAAAGTACAGATGAGCTTCCCAGAACTAGTTAGCTTCTATTCAAACATGATAGAACATTATGTTGGTCCAACTGCAGTAGTACAGGTGATAGGATGCTGCTCTGCGATGCTGGAGCCATATCAGAAATGGTGGTTTGGCTCCCAGGCTGACCTAAAAACACACTGGATGCACCTATATATGTCCATAATTGCGGCTGGCTGGAAGGTTAGGCAGGAAGAGGGTTGTGATCATGTCATGAGACTTTGTCAAGAGTGCCTATTTCCTTCTCTCTCTCTCTCTCTCTCATGAAATAAATCAAATAAAGAGAAGAGAAGAAAGGAATAATAGGACATATGTTAAAGTTTTGGTTGGGTGCAGGGAACTACCATTTATTGAATACAGATGATAACTCAGGTATTTTAACAGTTATCATTTATTTAGAATTTATCACGTGGAGCACTAATATTTGACATACCATACATAGTGTAACACCATTTAGTGTCCCTAGGTATTGCATGAGATTAAAGATTTCCCAAACAGATAACAAAACCCATGGACACTTGAATCCCTTATATCAAGTGGCATGGTATTTGCACGCATACTTGAGTTGTCATTTTTAAAAAAATCCACTCAGTCTATATCTTGGAGGCTTAACTTGCTTATTCAAGGTTATTATGTTTCCTAATTTGCCAGAGGGCATGTGTGCTCACCACAGAAAGACAGAGAGAAAGTGCACCTCCCCTTCCTCCATTCATGAAAGATGGTCATGATGCAATCCCTTTGCCTCCATTCTGTTTTTGGGATTTTGGCAAACATGCACATGTGCCCAGTGTTTTTCAAGCCGCCAGATCTTGGACTTGAACTGTGCAGCTGACCATGTGGAATTCAACCACCTTCTCTATTACACCACCAGGTTATTATTGAGAGATAATTACTCTGTAATTCTGTTTACAATTTTCTAGTTGCTTTGTGTTGACTTGGTTCCTTTCCTCCTCTCTTACTGTTTTGTTTATCTTTGCAGTTTAGCAGTCTTCTCTAGTGTTAAGGTTTGATTCCTTTCTCTTTCACATTTGTGCATCCACCCTATCAGTGAGTTCTGTATTATTACATGTTTTTGATATGGTAGTTACCATCCTTATACTCCCAGATGCACAATTTCTCCAAGTATTTCTTGTAAAGCTGGTCTAGTGGCAATAAATTCCCTCTGTTTTGCTTGTCTAGGGAAGACTTCACTTCATTACTAATGGAGAGCATTGCTGGGTATAGTATTCTTGGCTGAGAGTTTTTTCTTCTTTCAGCACTTTGATGCATCATTCCATTTTCTTCTGTCCTACAGTTTCTGCTGAGAAATCCTGTTAGTCTAACAGAAGTTCTCTCATATCTGACTTGACATTTTGTTGATGTTTTTAGAATTCTCTATCTTTGGCTTTTGACAGTTTGACTATAATGTGCTTCAGTGAGGAGTATTTTTTGAGTTGACTCCACTTGAGGACCTTTAAGTTTCCTGAATTTGGAAACCAATTTAAACTCCAGACTTCTGTTATCTCATGAAATAAGTTTTCTAACCCTTTTCTTGTCTCTTCTCCTTCTGATACTCCCATAATGTGAATATTTGTTCACTTATTGGTATCTCAAAGTTGCTTAAACTTTCTTCATTCTATTTTACTCTTTTTCTCTTTCCTTTTTTGGTCCAGCTGGGTTATTTCAAAAAACCTGTCTTCATGTTCAGAAATTCTTTCTTCTGTTTACAAAGTCTGTTGTCATCACTCATTATTTATTTATTACAGGAACTACCAAAGTTTTAGTGTTTAATAATTAATAGCACAACTAAGACCCGAAGTGCGAAGATAACATATTCAAGACACTGGGGGGGGTGTCATTCTTTAAACTCACTATATAGTATGTGGTTAAGAACACACATTTTATCATATAAAACCTGTCTACACATAGTAGTTAGTTCAAAAAGCCAGCTGGTCTCCTCTTGGTGTTGCAGATTTCGGTGTTAGTTATTAGCAACCTTCAATTCTTCTGTGTGGCAGGTATCTTGTTTTCACCTTCCAGTTTCTCCCCCCCAGCCTGTGTCATGAGGTCGGCGATGTTTTTCTCCAGATCATCAATGTGACTACTCATATCATAATTCTTCCAATGATCTGGTTGGACATGGTCTGAAATTTATCTTGTATCTGTTGCAAGAGAGTCTGCACCACAGAGGTCAGGTTCTCCATGGTTTTGGGGTCAGTCTCAACCATCTCCCTGGTGCCCAGCTTGGTAGTGGTTGCTCAGTCAGTCACCAACAGTTCCATTCATCATGCAGATCCCCCCCTCCGGCCCCCCCGCCGTTGCTTCTCCACTCATTTATATTTTTTTCTTAACTTTATTTAATTGAACTCAACCCTAAGATTCATGTTTCTTTTTTATGGTATCTTTTTGTTGAGTTTCTCATGCAGATTGTATGTTTTCCTGGCTGTGCTGAATTATCTATGTGTACTATCATGTTTCTTGCTGAGTTTCTTTGGGATCATTATGAAGTCTTTTTCAGGCATTCCAAAGGTTTTCTTTTCTTTGGTGTCTGTTGCTGGAGAATAATTATTACCTTCTATATTAATTATGTTTGATACATCATGTTACATTGATTTTTCTTGTGTCTTGCATGTCTATGTTGATATTTGCACATCTGGTGGAATAGCTGTTTTTACCAATTTTACAGGATGTTTTTTGTGGTGAAAGACTTTCTCCTATAGATGTCCTAGAATGTCAGTTGGGGTAGGTGCATTGCCTTTGGTTCTAGGTATTCATGGTAGTCTCTGTGTAATTTCTTCAGCTGTAACCAACCTTGGTAATACCAGTGTAGCCTAAGCTACAGGCATTTATGGGGCTATATATCAACTGGAACTTGGCTCCAGTAAAGGCAGGTATCTTCATGAACAGGTGGGGCTGCTCCAGCAGTTCCTGGAGTAATGTGACACTGTGGATGGGATCATTTTCCTGGCTGCTGCCATGGTATGCAAAGGGGCAGGGTCACACAACATAGTACATGGCTGTGAGCTAGGTTGCTCACCCAGCTGTTCCCACAGGATGTGGGGGCTCTAGTGACTTGACTGTGGGTGAGCTGCTCTCCCAGCTGCTCTCATGGGACACAGGAGAGGGTGTGGATCCTCTCCAGAGAGCATGGCTATGAGCAAAGTCATTCACACAGATGCTTCCACAGGATGCAGGGTGTAGGAGGGTCCAGTTGCTCCCAAAGCTCCCAGTGTGGTTAGCTGTTGATGGGGCTTCCTTACCTGGCTGCTCCTGCAGGATATGGGTGGAGATGATCAAAAGATTGCTTTGTGCAGGCACAGGCTAGAAAGATAAGGCTAGAACATGACCCAAACTCATCTGGGACAACTCAGTGGCATTAATCTCCACCCTACCCCAGCCTAGCACAGCTACTCCCTAAACTATGCTCAGAGTCTCCAAATGTTGAAGGATTCCCCTACAGTAAAGACTTCAAGTGTCCAAGATAATCAAGGAGGCTGCTGGGGGTTTCTTGCTTCCCCTCTCCCCATTGTGAATGTCCCTTCTGGTTCCAAGCCAACTTCAACTGGGAAGATGGTGGCAGACACAGGATACTTTGCTCCCCCTTACGGTAGGCCATTCTGAGTTTTCATTCTCCATAGCATCTTCACCATTGGCACACTGTACTCCAACATCTCCCTCAAACACTTCAGCTGTGTACCAGGTGTATATTCTTTGTTTTAGTTTCCTTTTTTCCTTTCCTTTCCTTTTCTTTCTTTTTCTTTTCTTTTCTTTTTCTTTTTTTTTTTTTTTTTGTGAGAGAGAAGGCAACTCTAGTCAGCAACCTTGATATACATAATTTTTGTATTATTTTTCCAACTCTTTGTTGTTCTGGTTTTTACATACTAACTTTGTATCAGTAACCTTCCTATATTTGCTTACTAATTCTCAAAGACAACCTGTAGAGTCTTCTGTATTTTCTACATAATCATGCCATCTGTGAATCACTATAGTTATAGTTCTTCATTTTAATTCATTATAACTTTAATGCTCTCTAGCCAGACTGTACTGTTTGGGACCTCCAGCACAGGATGACAGCAGGTATCCATGGTTCACTCCTAATCTCAGAACGAAAGCTTTTGACATTTTACTATTATTTTTATTTAGTGTTTCTTCTTTTCTAATATATGTATTAACATCTATACATTTCTCTGTAGTCATGACTTAGTATCTCAAAAGTTTTGTTGTGTCACACTTTCATTATTACTCAGTTTAGTTACAGTTAACCGTAGATTCTTTTTTGACTCTTAGAAATCACTCTTAGGAGATCTGGCAGGTGGCATGGTGGTTGGGGTCGCTGGACTCCCACATGACCGACTGCAGTTCAAGTCCTAGACCTGGTGGTTTCCTGTCTCACTTTCTGTCTCCCTCTCACTCTATCCCTCTCTGGTTAAATTAAAATAAATAAATAAATAAATAAATAAAGGCAAAAAAATAATTCTTTCAAAAAAAGAGAAATCATTCTTAGGACATTTAAAAGGGATTTAATTTCTAAATATATGTGAAAGTATTAAAATCTTTTTATTATTGGGCTGGCAGGTGGTATGGTGGTTAGGGGCACTGGACTCTCACATGGCTGACCACAGGTCGAATCCCAGACCTGGTGGCTCTCTCTCTCTCTCTCTTTCTCTGTATCTTGCTCTGGTCAAGTTAAAAAAAAAAAAAAGAAAAATAAAATGTCTCATGGAAGAAGTAAATAAACTTTTTTGAGGGGCACTGGACTCTCACATGGCTGACCACAGGTCGAATCCCAGACCTGGTGGC